TTCAATTTTTTTTTTAATTTCCCCCCCATATATAATCAATTAAAATCAAAGGCTCTTTTATTCAACTTAAGAATCTGAATTACATGACCTCTTAGGTTGTTAATTAATTTAGCCTCATTTATAGATTTTATATATTTTTTTTTTATCAAATATATTTCGTATATATTGAAAATACATGGATTTAGTCCGTGTTATTAATTTATATACAATAGGTCCAATAATCACAAACGAGGATGAATATTATCATTTCATATATAATAATCGAATATTTTGCTTAAAAAAAAAAGAGGCTGTGATAGTATATATGATGTTAATATTGTTTGATTGATTTAAATAAGTTGATAGAATATACTATTATGGTTATTATACATCTTTTGGCTAGTTAGTACAATTTATATGTTATGTATCAATGGTGAACAGATGAATGAGAGCTCAATCGTGCTAGACGCTTCGAACTACATAAAGGACCTTAAGCAAAAAGTCGATAAACTCAACGAAGAAATCGCCACTGCAGAAAGTTCGGCTCGACACCAGAATTCGCGACCCGTAACACTCTTTTTTTTTGATCAAGTTTTATTTTATAGAAAATATGATCACTTACAATGAAGCTACAATAAATATGGTTAATATTATTATTATTATTATTATTGCCTCTATATATATATGCAGAGGGTAACTGTAGAAACCCTAGAAAAGGGCTTCTTAGTGAATATTCATTCGGGCCAAAATTGTCCGGGATTGCTAGCCTCCATACTCGAAACATTCGAAGAGTTAGGACTTAACGTTCTCGAAGCTAGGGTTTCGTGTGTCGATAACTTCCATCTACAAGCAATCGGTGGCGAAGTAAGAAAAAATAGAATGAAATTATTACTATGTACACAAAATGTACCTAATAATATTTCATTTAAATATGCATCGAAAGTTATGGATGATTTAACGACTAAATGAATTTTTGGACAGAATGAAGAAGATGATGCGAACATGGATGCACAAACTGTGAAACGAGCGATTTCGAACACGATCAAGAATTGGATCAAGAGCATTGAGTAGCTAGCTAGCTAGGCATTTGGAGCCTAAATATAAAGTTTATATTTTCATTATGGTGTTCAATAATCGGGCCGAGTTCGGATATGAAGTTGGTTTCGATCGGTAATTAGTTAAATTATAATCAATCGGGAAAAGTAATTGTTCATGAATAAGTGATCAAAGATCGCTTATGGTTTTTGTAGCAAATCAAATTTCCAGCAGTGCTAATTAATTAAGGGAAAATGTGTTTATATATAAAATCAGTGCTCCTAATTGTCTTTGTGTAACAGATAATAACATACTGCAGTGATGAAGGCAATGCTTGTTTTAACTTTGGTTATTTTATGTTGGAGACGGAGTAAATTTATATTCCACTTTTTTATTTTATTTATTTATTGTATATGTATTTTTCAGATTAGCTTCTTTTATTTTAGAAGGTAAGTTTGAAATGATCCAAAATTAGAGTTTGGAGATTTTCTAAAAGAGAAGATTTATTTTTTTAAAAATTTTAGTTTTTATATTGTTTTACTATTAGTTATATTTAGCATTAATTATACATAAATTAATTTACAATAAATTTATAAATTAATTATTAGTAATATTTATGTATTGTTAATTAAATTTAATATGTTCATGGACTATCAATTGAAATAATTTTATAGTATTTAAACTAAACAATATTGTTAAGTTAATAATTTAAGTATATTCAAAAACCATTGTCCGTGTCCGCCATCAATTATTAACCATTTTTTTTTTTATAAAATAAAATAATAAAACTCACTAATTGTTGTTTACTACTTTAAAATATTTACTATGTTAATGAAAGACTTATAGAGAAGAAGACATAATGTATGGATAAATATTACAAGTTCTTAGTTCAAGTGGTAGTGTCAACTTATTATGGTTTTTTTAAAATGGTTGAATTATTATTTTTTTTACCCAGACAGTAATTAAAAGCTTTTATCTAGTTTGGGAGACATATTTTCATTATTATTCAAAATTTATCTAATAGGGAGGCATCTTTTAACTGTTAATGTACTGGATTATAGTAAATCTATATATAAACGTACAGCCGTACCAAAATAACAAAATTTAATAATTGTAATTTAGAGGGACGGCTACAATCTCGTAACGGTATCATTCCGTTCATTTATTTTAGATCGTTGGATATTTACAATTATTATCGGCCTTTAGATACAAGAAAGTTATATATATTAATTGCACATATTGTTGTAATCACTTTAATAACATTGTTGTAATCTGATTGATTGAAACAATAGAGGAACAATGTCCTTATGGGACTTTAGTATTTTCCTGTAATTTATTTACGTATTCTAGAATAACTATAACATCTTTATGTGGATTCATTCCTTGTGATCGATATAATTTAACAAGCTTTTATGGAGTTGAAATTTTTACATGGAGATTTAATGGACTTCTTGACCCTGATGTTCATTTGGACTTTCCTATAGGACACATAACTTGATTTATACGGCCCAGTTGATATTTCACTGGACAGCCTATAATCTTTAGAGTCCATAAAGCTTACTTTCCTTTATAAACGATGGATTTCCTTTTTTGAAGCCCATGGAACATGAGCCCAAGTGCAACAACAAATCAGCCAGCTTTGCTCGTGTAATTTCATGATACCTCAACTCAACTTGACTTTTAATAAACTAAAACTCAGTAAAAACTGTAGGGAACTTTATCGGGAATATAAAAGTAAGATGGCTATAATAAAAAATACCGAGGCCTGTGAGAACACAGTGTCCTTAAAACAGATTCGCCCCGTATGAGCGTCTGTTTCCCAGGATACAACGGATAAACCGAAACAAATTCAGCGAACTGGAATTATGCCTGGACCAAAACACTTTAAAGAAAAAATGGGGAAAAGGTTTTAGGAATATAATGTTTTTCTTTTCTTGGTTTTTCATTCTCGTATCTCCCATCAAAAGAAGACAACTCTTCTTATAAAGGCTTAAGATACCCACATACATTAATACTTCATTAATTCAAAATTTAATGAAGTTAAGTTAAAGATTAATCTTGTAACATGAAACAAGTTACAAGTTTTGAAATGAAAGACACAGTTATTTCAAAATTTAATCTTTATGTTACAATTTAATTCACAATTTTCCAACAAAAACAAGTTTCCACTCGTTTAATAAACAAGCTCAAGTTCAATTAGTTGTTCTAGCTTTGTTCGTTTTACTATACATCGTTTAACAAACAAACTCAAGCTTGATTCGTTTAAGCATACAAATGAGTCGAGTTCGAGCTTTCACTAGCTGAGTCAAGTTGTGTTTACGAACAAGCCGATATGCATATTAATGGTATGACCAAAAAATGTTGAACCATGCAAATTTGATTCTGCAAATTTAGTTCTCAGCTGAAGAATTTTAATTTTTAAGAAGAAAGAAATATGTAAAACTTAATTATTCGAAAACAAGAAAAGAAGAGAAACAAAGAAAAGCGATTCATATATAGTCACTAATAATGGAAATATGGAATCTAATAAAAATGGATACCGGAAAAAAGTTCATTGGCATTACTTAACAAGAAATTAACTTGGAAATGCCTACATGCGACGAAGATTTATTGTCGTTGTCCTAAAAAAGAAGCAATAAAATCATAAGAATCATAAATAATGAATATTTATTAAATCCTTATTTGATAGAGGAAGCCCTAGCCCTTGTAATCGCCCGGGCCAAATGCTGATTCTGGATCGTGAAATCAACGTATCCCTTGGCAAAAAAGATGTCCTTATAGTTTTTTGCAATGAAATCCAATGTGGCATCTTTCAGTGATTTGAACGAACACCTGTCCGACAATTCTAAAATATCGAGCGCGTTGCAAGTGCTCAAGGATTCCTTAAGGTGATGCTCACATACCTTTCGGAGGGGCGCTATATCGTATTCGTTTGCAGCCACTGCCAACGAGTACAAGTTTCTTTCGATCATCTCTTTCGGGAGATTCCCTCTGTATAGCAGGAACTCGATGAGAGAGTGGAGCTCTTCGTTGGTCATTTTGGACAATGTTATTGACTCGTTAGGCGGGGCTTTGTCTTCCGAGTCGAGGATGTTTCTGAAGATGCTCGATTTTACGGCCTCCATCTGTGGAACAATGTGGTGTAATTTAATAAATGTAAATATTTGTAATCTCGATATAAATGTTATATATGAAACTGAAATATATGATCGTGTACATACCAATAGGGCTTTATGTGCATGAATAGAGGCTTCTTTAGTACCCGGCTTCACTTCAATATCAGTACTGTGAATTCCATTGATTAATGCAACTACAATTCTACCCAAATTATTTATCTTTTCATTCAAATAATTTATCTTTTCATTCTGAAAATCAACTCTTTCCTTCAGTAGTTTCTTCCCCCATAGAAACTCTTTCAAAAAACCCTGTTCAATAAGTCAAGATAAAACATGACACATAAGCCAATAAGACGTACTTTTTTTTTCTAATTACTTTCAAATCAAAATATCATAAAATTATATATATATATATATAATATGAGAATGCTACCATCCCGTTACGGGATGGTTCCGTTGTGTTTTTAAGCGTTGGATTAACTACCCATCACTAGATTACATGTATATCTAT